GGAGGGGGAGTACTGACCTCTAATACTGGCTCGAGAGTCTTCATCAGACCCGCGACGCTGCGCACATCATCTACGCCTCCGAGCTGCATCTTCTCGACCTTGGCCTTCGTCGCCTCTTCATCATCCATCACATCTATCGCATTGCCCGCGCCCGTCATGCCCTCATCCTCTTCCATCTCCTCCTCATCCCCATCAAGCTCCATAGTCTCGCCATTCCCGTTGGTTGTCGGCGCATGCCCGTCCGCCTCGGGGAAGAGGCCGCCATTCTCGGTCTCGGCCTCCCCCTCTGAGCCCGAGTCCTCAAAGTCGTTCAGAAGTTCATCGGCAAGAGTCGACATCTTGACGTATAAGTCTTGAGAGTGAACGAGATTGCTGTGTTGCGTTGGAATATTTGGAAGGCTGCGGCCGTGACAATAATTGTTGTCGCCTCGCGCTAGTGTAATTTGGTTTAGCGCGCCTCGGGCAAGGCTGAGAACTTAAAATGACAGCCTTGTGATAGAATGAGAGTAGTACGATGATGGGATAACAGTCAACAAAACAACAGAATATGATAATATTGGACCATTTCACCAAAAATACGCGCTAAATATCAAAATCAATCCCATGGCAACGTGTCCTCTTACTCAACCCTGTCCTGAGGGTCAGGCTACGCCCTGAGGTAGCTTTTTGGCGCCTTTGACGAAATGTTTACTACCCTAGTGACCCTTCATCCATGGGGCAGGGTGGTACTTATTGTGTACATAGGGGGCTGAGGAGTTCTAGATTTAAATAGTTTCATTTTGGCATAAAAGCTAGCAATTGGACCGTATGGGATCGAAAGGGCCTCGTAAGGGATGGGAGGGTGCAAGGGAGGACAAGGACAAGGGGTCATAACACCTGACGTCATTCTGTCCTCGTCTATCAACAAACGACCCAGGCTGGGCTCACCTTTCCTGATCTGATCCAATATTCAGTATCTTCACTACCCAATTGAAGCCTAACTTTTGCATCGTTGACGTGTTGAAACGCCATGCCTACCAAGCCGCTAATCCTCGCCGTCAATGCGGGCTCCTCCTCCGTCAAAGTCAGTGTCTATACACTCTCCTCCTCGGAACCACACCAAATTGCAGAAGCTCAGCTCGATGGGCTGACAGCCCCGCCAGCGAAGCTATCATATACCCGCGGCTCCACTACAGTGTCCAAAGGAAAGGAGCAGCAACAGGACGTCAAGGACCAAGGCGCAGCGTTCTCGATCCTCCTTGATGAGCTGGTAAATGACTCAAAACTCACCGAGCTAGCACGCAAGGAGGATATAACCCATGTCTGCCACCGGGTTGTGCATGGTGGAGACTACTCCAAGCAGCAGCCGATCACGAAGGAGACACTACAGACTCTGGAAGAACTGAGTAGCCTGGCACCACTTCACAATGCGCCGGCCCTATCAATAGTGCGTAGCTGTCTTGACGAGCTGCCAGGCACGCGCAACATTGCCTGCTTTGACACACAGTTCCATCGGGGCTTACCGGAGCATGTCCGCACGTATCCGATCAATCAAGAAGTGGCGCGCAAGAATGGGCTGCGGAAGTATGGGTTCCATGGGTTGTCATATTCATTTATCACACGTGCCGTGGCAGGATTCTTGGGCAAGAAGCCAGAGGAGACTAGCTTGATCGCACTGCACCTTGGATCTGGAGCGAGTGCGTGTGCGATTAAGGGGGGTAAGAGCTGGGATACGAGTATGGGACTCACGCCTCTGGCGGGGCTTCCAGGGGCGACGCGAAGCGGGAGCGTAGATCCTAGGTAAGTGCTTTGTCAATGAAGATTTTACAGCGTCTAATAGCTATAGTCTCGTCTTCCACTATGCTTCAGATGTAGGCAAGCTATCACCCGCCTCAACAAAAGAGCTCCACGTCTCGCGCGCTGAGGACATACTAAACAAGCAGTCCGGCTGGAAAGCGCTGACAGGCACGACGGACTTCGGTGCCATCAGCGCGGGGTATGACAAGGACCCTGCGAAGAAGCTGGCGTTTGATTTGTTTGTTGACCGGATCTGTGGCTTTATAGGCGCGTACTACGTTAGCCTCCATGGCGAGGTAGATGCTCTGGTCTTTGCTGGCGGGATTGGCGAGAAGGGTGCTGAGCTGAGGAGGAGAGTTGTTGAGCAATGCGCTTGTTTGGGGTTTGCAATTGGGGAAGAGGCGAATGGGAAAGGGGGAGGCGATGACGTGGTGCGGGATGTTAGTGGGAAGGGACAGCATAAGGTGCTTATTTGTAAGACGGATGAGCAGCTTGAAATGGCGAGGGAAGTGATGGAGATTGAGAGCTTGAGCGGGTAATTTGTAATGGCCTCGGATAGTTTCTAGTCTCCGGTACTCTTAATGACTTACGATAATTTTGAAGGTTGAAGCGCCTCTATTGGAAACCTGATGCAAATTCTCTATCCAAACAAGCCCAGTCCATTAAACACCTCTATACTCTCACGCATAAAATAACTTGTACGAGTATGTCTCGTGAGGACGTGCTGTAGCGCTTGAGGAAACCAGTCAAATTAAGACTGTTGTAGAACTGGCTAAGGAGGAGGAAGGATTGGCGATATAGGGATTTAGAATTGGCACCAAGAAAAAGCCCCCAAAAAGGTGGAAACAAATCTAGACCACTTGCCAACCATTTGGCTCACTTATAGACCAAACATTGCATTCATATAGTTCTTTGCCATATAATAATATTACCCAACCAGTATCGTAAACTCATCCATACTCACTCAGCCCATCGTAAAACCGCTCGATAAACTCCAATCCCACAAACGCCACATAAATCGTTTCGACATATCCGGACCGTCCTAAGCGCCGCCGCATACAAAACTCCTAACCCAACAACACCCTTCACGGAACTCCATACCCCCCATCCTCAACCTCCGTTCCCTTCCCCTGCGTCCACCGCGCAAACGCATCTTCATACACATCCTCTCCACAGACCGTCGCCCTGACAGCCTCACACCCCTCCACAGCACCAACCCACCTCTCCCAGCGGCTCCCCGGCTCTGGATCAGGCCAACCACGGAACTTCTTGAGCATGCGGCTACACCTTAGCATCCACGGCGCGAATACGACATCAACGTGTCCGAGCGTCGCCCCGAGGAAGAATGGACCCTCGGCGTCCGCTGCCTCAACCATCTTGTTGATCTCATCCTGTAGCGTCGCGACCGCCTCGAGCGTCTTGTCCGCTGGGCTGAACTGTAGCACCGTGTAGAACGCCGGAACCACGGCGCGGTTTACGTGATCTGCCCAGAGACGCGCCGTAGCTCGCAAACATGGGTCGCTTGGCATCAGGGGGATGCCGAGGCTGAGATCGTCGAGATACTCTAGGAGCACAGTGGAGTCACTGCATCCCCAGTTGCCGTGGCGGAGGGTGGGAACAGGGCCGGCGGGGTTGATTTCAAGGTGAGCGGCGGGTTTCCTCAAGGGGTCGACTTCGATATATTGGTATGGAATGTCTTTGGCTTCTAGGGCGATCCAGACTCGCTGTACGTAGGGGCTGCTGCATGTTCCAAAAAGTTTGAGATCTTGGTCCTTGGAGTGTCTGCGGGTCGTCACGAGAGCTGCACCGCTGGCCTTCCTGGTGGTTGATTTCTGATACGTGTTAGAGGGCCTGACTAGGACATGGGGAAATGTAGAGCATGACAAGTGTAACTAACCATGGATTTTTTCTCTTCTTTATCTCTTTTCATGAGAAAGCGTTGGACGCTGTTCTTCTTGACCCTGTCGCTTT